TGTCTCTGCCTTTCCCCTTCTCCATTTGCTATTAGCAGGTCTGTGAAGTTTGTTCTGCCTTCCAGTTATCTGGCACCATAGATGACAGATGCAGGAGAGCCAAACAGCCTCTCCAAATTACCCTGTGATGGGAGGGAAGAAGGTGACCTCCAAACACAGTGGGAGGGAAAAGGGGCTGGTTTTCCTAATATGTTTCTTCTTTGGCAGCTGATGGCTTTTTCCATGCAGGTGATGAAAGCAGTGTCTTCTTGCTGAATGAACAAAAATACCAGTTTTTCAGAGCAATGGGAAGAGCAGCACCCTGCCTTCCCAACCCTCCCACAGCAGCACTTGGCCTTGCAGCCTCCTGAGCCAGGAGCATCCCTGCACACTTCATATTAAATCCTTATTTCCTGCAGTTCCACCCCCTGCTGGTGACCACCAGTGGCTTGAGCCTGTATAAAATATGGTTGTAGCAACTATTATCATTACTTTGAGTGTACAGCTCCCACATTAGCTGTCATTTTAAGAGATGCTGGTCAGTGCAGATGAGGAGCAAATGGCTTGTGGTTTGATGAGATGTATTTTGGTGGCTCACCAGATTGTCACTCCCAGCCAGTGGAACTGGAGAAGGGGTTTGCAGAAATTACTGCTTTGCAAATGGGAGTTGTAGGTATTCTGAACTTGAAATGGTGAATTCCAAATGACTTGCTAGGGGCTGTTTTTGGTTCACACTCACAGTATTACTGCCCAAGAACATTTTTTCTTTTTACTTGGAAGCAATTGAAGTGACTGCAACCCCATTAAGTCTTGTTTTTAGATTACAATAAGCAAGACTCTGATTAATTTAGCAGCAGGGCATCAGTGAATATTAACAGCTTAACTTGAAGCCCTGTTAGATTGATAAAGAACTAAACAGCCCCTGAGTTGTATATTAACAGAATGGCCATAGCATAATTGAGGCTCGTGTTGGGTGAGTGTCAGCATGGTTGATAGGCAGCACAACAGCAGAAGCTATTTGTCTTTTAAATGGCCACTTAAATTATTCAGCATAGTAGCTGATAGTCATCAGTACATCTGAGCCACAGCCCAGTTGTTCTAGGCATGTGTGCACAAGCTCTAATTAGCTCATGTACAGCACTGAGCTCTCCTTGAGCAAACTCACCTGTGTCCAGAAGCAGTTTCTCGGGGGGGTCTCCAGCCCATGAGGAGATCCCTCTCCTGTGGCCCAGGCATTAGGGATGCATGAATAAACTGGGATGCAGATAGCTTGGGGGTGATAACCAAACCAACAGCTGGGCAAACATTTCATCTGAGCCACTCATGTTAGATGTAGTTTTACTTCCCCAGCCCACGAGAGAAAGTAAAAACTGCAATGCTACCAGTAGCATTTTTTTGTTTGTTTGTTTTCTTAAGTCTTCTGTGGTTACAGGAAATTTGAGGAATTCCCCTGTGAATGCAACGTACCTAACTAGTTGTGTATGCTGTGGGATATGCTAGCCAAATAAGACTGAAAGCTTTCGAACCATTAAATGTGCAGCAGGAGTTGGTAGCCACTCAGTTTCCCCTCCAGTTCCTTCTTGTTGCAGCATTAGCAATTCTGAGGTAGTAACACAATGGACATAGCTCAAATTAATTAGCTAAATTGGTACCTAAAGGCAATAAGATTTCATGCCACTTAATATTTCCAATGCAAACAAGACAGGCAAGTAAACATATTTAAATATGATTGGCTCATCTTCTCGAGTGGAGTATCTTATCTTTTGTTTGGGCTAAACACAGCTCTCATTGTGCTCAATTTATTCTGCCATTAGCAGTGGTCTGACCTGCTATTAGCTCTGATAAAAAGTACAGTCATCCCCTTCACTGAAGACCATCCTGTGGTAAGGATGTTGAAATGCAATTTAAAGGGGGAAGGAGGTTAGACACACTTAGCTTTTGTACATAATTAAGCCACGCTAGCGATGGGAGGCTTAATTGCAATTGGAGTTGATCAGCAGAGAGCCCCAGTGGTGGCTAGCAGGCTGTGATGGTGCTGGCCTGTGCACACACAAGCTGCACAGCCTTGGAGCAGTTGTTCCAGGCTGTGAGAGGGCTCTGGCTGGAAGGTGCTGATTATTCCCAGAGTCCTGTGCCTGGGAAAAGTCATGGAGTTTGTGCCTCTTGGCTTTCTTTTCTTCCCCCCTCTCTTGCCGCCCGCCCTCTCCCCCCACCCCCCTTGCGAAGCAGCCCTTCTGGCTTTGTTGTAAGTGTGGTTTGTAATCATTGTACACATCCCAGATGGTTCATGAAAACTCTTTGAAATGCCATCTGCCAGGCGTGTGTCCAGCCGGCAGCCTGTCATTCTGCTACAAGAAAAACGGAGGCGGGTTTTCCCTTCCCCCTGCCTTCCTGAATTGCACGCAGGAACACTTGCTCAGATGTGGAGCAGGATAACAGCCGGAGCATCTGCAAGCAATCTCTGCTCCAGACAGCAGCATGGAAAGTTGTTGGGTTTTTCGCCTTTGCCCAGATAAGATATCCCAGCCAGAGCAGTTTTTATTTTCCCTGGGTTTGCTGCTGAGGACCAGCTGAGGTGACAAATGTTATCTCTGTGATGCAATGTTTTCCTTTTCTGTGGTGACTTTCCTAATGCTTTCTGCGTGTGTTGCAGGCAGTCGCGCTGATAGCCGGCACAGCTGCGGTTTTTTTGACTTGGACATATTCAGGAAATTAAGAACACTGAGATGAAACAAATAGATCCATTAAAATGGCTCAGAGGAATTATGGCAGAGATATAATTGTCATGTCAAATAGGCAGCCAGCACTAGTAAACTGCTGACTGCAATTTCACCGCTATAAAAATTCAGAAGGAAGGGAAAAAATGATTAATAAATATGCTCTGTGGGAAGATAGAGATAAAGAGAAGAAGAGGCTTTAAAAGATAAGGTGAAAGCAATCCTGAAGTTCCCTGATCTTTGTCTTATCAGTAGTTATTGGGAAAACACAAGTCCTGATCTTTGTCATTTGGCTCACGTGGCTGGGGGTGAGGTTTGACTGATTGATGAGCAGTGCTGGAGAGTCTAATTCTCACTTCCATTGTGCTCTGGGCATGGGACAGCTACAGCATTCCACTGGTCAGAGTTATTGATGTGGCTTTTCATCCTTCTTGCTTCCCACTCACGGCCAGGTTTGGGGGAATGTGCCGGTGGCCACCAGACACGATGCCCTGGGAGGGTCCTCACAGCCTCCGTGGCAATGTCAGTGCCCAGGGAGGACATGTGGCATCTGGGCTGTGATCATCCTGGCTGCTGGGTGTGTGCTCCTTGCTCCTGGTGTGCCAGGGAGGGACCTGAGTGAGCCTCTCTGCCTGCCTGCCTTGGGATGGAAGCACCAGCATGGGGCAGAGAGGGGCACAGGATGCAGCTCCTGCATTTCTCTGGACTATATCTGTGAAAGGAAATTGTCTTCTGTTACCATCTACCCAGGAAAATGTTGTAGCCTTACTATAAGGATAAGCTCCAAGAGGAGGAATGATGGAAAAAAGCACAGGAATTTATAGACTCTCTGAAGGCTGATGGTAAATAATAAAAAAGAGAGTTTCTATTTTGAAACAAGGAATGGAGGATGTTAGAGAAAGTGGATGTCAATCAAGGAAATTAATCTAGTGATAGTCTTTTCAAGGGTGTCACTCTGTCAAGACTGACCTCTTGAGCAGTCTCTCAGATGAATAGGAGATAAGCAGACTTTCCGCTTTCCTGGCACTTGAGGAAAACATTTGCCAGATGCAGGCATGGTAAATTTATGCTCTTTCAACTTCTGAGAACTGGAATCTTCCCAATTAGTTTTTGGAAGCTCAGCTTCTTTATTCTTTCTTCTGTCCTTTTATAAAGGGTTTAAGAAATTGTATGCACTGAGAAGACACTGCCCAGGGGCCAGAAGCATCCCTCAGAAGTGAGAAATTATGCTTTGTTAAATGTTAGGTATGGTTTCCACGTCTCTGAAGTTTTCCCAGACTGGTTTCAGCCACAGCATTCAGACACCTCCAACTCTGTAACTCTGGTCTTTCTTCCAAAATTCAGTTTCCTGTACATCTGTAAGTCTGTCATTTATATTTAATCTCAGATGTACAGAATCCAGAGTCATGGAAAATAAAGGCTATTGAACAGAAACAGATCCTTATCAATTAAGTTGTGCTCAGTGACCTAAAATGCAGCATCCCAAGTTATCTTAGGAAAAAGGTTATGAAATGACTCATCTTACACTGTGCTTCAGAGTGCTGTAAATTGGCCAGAAGGGACAAGAGTTTCAGAGCTGGCAGAGTGGCAGTGATCAGAGCCAGTTCTCCATGGGCACTACAGAAATTGTCGAGTGCTGGAGAGAGAGACTGAGTGTGACTTATTGCTCAAAAGTATTCCTGAACTGGAACCAGCTTGTAGGTGAACTTCTGTGAGAAGAGTTGTCAGGTTGTCTCTTCAGTGAGCATGTGTGGATGGTGCATCAATACTGTCTCATGGTACTTTTTAATGCTGAATAAAAAATGATAGCATGAATAGAGATAAAACAGTTAGAAGAAACAAGGGAGAAATTATGTTTATGATGTGAGAGAACATTTGATGAGCTAGTGATACAGAAGTAATGGGACCTGGAAAATATCTTGCCTTATCTGGTAATACAGATTGCAGTTTTAGCGAAGTATGAGAGACAATGCTAACAGCAGGAAAGTAATTGCTGGCATATTCCCAGTACCAAACATTTCCAGCTGTGTTTCTGGACACAGAGATGAGAGATTTCTTTGCTAGAGTCTTTCTGAGAACACAAGAAACATCCCTCAGTTGTTTTGTTCCAGTTGGTGTCACCGGTTCAACCTGAAATCTATGTCTTGTTTTTACATGGGCTCCTAACTTCAAACTTCTTTGGCCCTTGTAGCTCACAGAACTGTGTTTTACAGATACTCTTGTATCTTTGTGAAAATTTGTTAGTGTCCCTTTTAACTCTTGACAAGAAAGCAACAGTAATAACGTTCTGATTTTTCCTTTCAGGCACAACCCGCCCTCCAAGAGAAGGAGAAGTGCCTGGTGTGGACTATAACTTTCTGACTGTGGAGGAATTCCTGGAGTTGGAGAGAAGTGGGACCCTTCTGGAAGTAGGAACTTATGAAGGTATGGAGCCAGGGACAGTGAAAAAGCCCCTGGTGGGACACCACATGTGCATCACCCTCGCTCAAGTTAGGACCTTGCTTTCCATCCCAGTGCTCTGCTTCCATTTTCTCTGGAACCTGAGAGAGGGAATTCCAGTTTTGCTGTGCTTTTAATTCTGCCTTCAAGTTAACTGCCTGAAAAGATCAACAGTAGGCCAGGAAAATCCAATATATAATCCTGTAACGTAGTGGGCCAGTATGCATTTATCCTTTGTGTTCACTGGAGCTCACCTCCTTGTTCAGTTTTTCTTTCCTCCTGATCTTTTTCTTTCCTTCCATCTTCCCTAAATACACTTCCTTCATCACCCAGTTGTGCGTCACCATGCAGCTACATGATGCACTGCTTTTGGGTTGTTTTTTCCTTATTCTTGGATAATTGCTTCTAACTTGGGTCACTGTGTTGATCCTTTTTACAGCACAACTTTGCCAACAACAGTACTGACTGAGACAGCCAAGGGGCACTGAAATGTCACCAGGGTGAGAGCAAAAACAGCTCCAGAGAAATGCAAGGCAAATTGGCCATTTTTAGGTACACAATAGGATCTGTGTAACTAAATCTGCAGTCTGTAGCTCCTTTAAATTGAAAACTCCTTTTGGAGTGGGTTGGGTTTTTTTCCTCAGGAGAACACTCAAATGTACCTCTTGACAAGACAATGAAAACAGGTTTGAAAATCCTTCCAGTGTACTTCAGCTCAGTCATTTTATATTTCCATTTGAAAGAAGTTTAATGGTTATTTCTGTAAATCTGAGAGATTGAAAAAGCCCTATCCTTGCAGCCTTATTCTAGTTATTCTTTATAATAAGAAATATGGAATACATTTAAAAATACAAACTACACACAACTAGCCAAAAGTCTTTGAAAAGTAGTCATCAAACATGAGCAGAAAAAATTGTGGCATGTGGTTTTGGTCTTCAGGGTCTGAAGAAAGAGTTCTGAAATACTGTTTGCCTATTTCTTTACAAACTCCTTTTTAAGGGCACCTTTAAACCTTATGCTCATTCCCAGCTGCAGACCTGGTTTGCATGAAGATGCTAAATGTATAATTTGGTTTCACTCTTCCACTTCTCTGAGCTGATTAGCTCCATCAGCACCAATGCTAACGTTCCAGCAGCAGCTCTTCTCCAAAATGAGCTTTTTCCTCTCTGTGTTTCTAATTATAACACCAAATTAGTTTTCTTTGTCGTGGTGCTTGAAATAGATCAGCTGAAAGGCCTCGCCATTGCTTCCTGATCTATTTGTTCTAGTGACCTTTCCACTTGGAAAGACAAAATGGGTAACTGTCTGTAAGCTGGCTCCTGGGACATGCTGGGAATTAGTTCTCAGGAAATGCTGAATCCATCTGGGACAGTTATAACACGGTCGTTTCATTGCTTATGTGATTATATGCAGCAGCAGCTAAACTGTTTAGGTTTCATGGCTTGCTCTTTTCAGTTGCTGGAGATGAGGTTGATTTCTCATAAGTCTAATGTGTATTTCATTTCTGTGGGTGATAGAAGTGCCTGAACTTTAGAGGAATAATTTGTCAGAAGTGCTGCGAAGCTTCTTTCCCCATTGACATCAGTGATGCTGGTGCATTGTGGTTCTGGAGTGCTGGCCCATGGAAGGAAAAATCAATAAGAATAAAGCAAATAATGATGAAGCATATGTGCACATATGCATCAAGACACATTACTGTTTGATTGTAATGTGAAATAAATAGAGTTCATTTTTCACTTACGGCTTAAAGAAATTATTTTGCTGCCTTCCGAGATTTCTTTAATGGCTTTGTTGTACTTTTTTTGGGAAATCTTATTTTACAGCTGTATTGATCAAGACAGTGTTGATCTTGATTAGATCTTGGAAGCTGGGATGATTCAGACTTGATGTTGCAATCGCAAGCAATTTTGTCTATAAAAAAATATCTGCCAAAAACCCAAACCACAAAGCAAGTTAGACTTTTAATGGCCAAATCTCTGTTATTGTCCAGCTTTAAAGTCTTAGATATTTTAATTATCACTTGTTTTTTTGCTGCATTTTGCTGCCATATTTTTTTTTAGTAAGTGTTCCACCATGATAAATTTGACTGTATTTTTGATTGGTGATTGCTTATTCTGAATCAGAGAAATAAAACCCAACACAAGGAAATAATCTTCTACCTGCTGTGCTGAGGAGAAATAAGAACAATTGAAGAGATGGGGTTGCCTGTGATTTAGTGCTCTCAAATGATTTAGAGATGAAGGAAGAGGACTACTGTGAAATGGACTGCAGGGATGAGGAGTGGGGAAGTTTTCATGTGCCAGCCACAAGCTCATGTGGCTCGAGCAGGTTGTGGTTTGGGGTCACCATGGTCCCAAGGACCCTTCTGGCCTTGTAAACATCAGTACATGGTGGTGGGAAAGATGGACACAAAGTCACCTGGATACTGTCGCTGGGAAAAACCTCACAGAAGAAGAGGTAACAGAAACATGTAATAATAGTTACTGAAGAGAATTCTGGGGAGAAAGATTGGAAAACAGGGAGGCATCAGAAGAGGGGTAATACACAGGGCTTCGATGCTGATACAGATAGTATTGATTTGGAAAGAAGAGAGAACAAGCAGAAGAGGACAGTTGGAAACCATAAAAAAGTATGAGAGTGTATCAGGTTTTCAAAGAACAACCTGGGTTTTGAAAGTGCTCTAATTGCAAAAAGAGAAAGTGCAAGCTGAACAGGAGAAAAGAGGTGTTGCTGACCTGCAGGGCTTCGTAATGCCATTATTATTTCTTCTGGTGCACTGCAAATAGGTTCCTCTGGGCAGCTTTTGATTCATATCCCAGTGAAGGCAGAGCAGGCATGGCAGCTGCTGTTCTGGTCACCTCTCATCTCCCTGGTGTGTTCTGCACCCAAAAGGCTTCAAAAAATGTAATCAGGTGGGAGGGGGCATTGGCAAGCCTTAATTCCTGAGGTTTTCAGTTTGGCTTTTAACATCCTGATTGTTAACCATAAAGCCCAGAAACATCTCCTTTCCTCCCCTGATGAAAGCTGCATGTTGATCACATGAATCCAGCAGCTGGAGCTGGAAGACCTGCCCAAAGCTGCGCTGCTGCCCCAGTATTGGTGATTTTGCCCCACGTGTGTGCTGCACACAACCCTTGCAAGCCAGTTAGAAATTCCCATTGACAATATTTGGTAGGAAGGAAAATTCTTTTTAGGCTGCACATCGTCTAGGCCTTCTGGTGGATAGGAAATCACTGTAATTGTGGTCTCAGGCATTTATTGACTGCTCCTTCAGGGCAGAAAATACTGATGGATGCATGGAAGTAATTGTGTAGGTTACTAATTATTTAGCAATTACTTCTGCATTTGAATTGCAGGCTCTCACAGGCACCCCAGGGGAGGGCTGTTTTGAGCACAGCTTCCAGATTTAATTCCCATTTTTTCCCCAGCTGCTGAGTGGCCCTGGGCAGATCAGGTAGCTGCTCTGTACTTCAGGTTACTGGCCTGAAGAATATTAAAACAACACTTACTTCTGTGCTCATTAATATTTCAGCAGATACCCTGTGCCTGCAGCTATCTGCAGTTTGAAATAGGAGGGGGAGAGTGGAAGCCAGGCTGTTCTGGAGGGCTGTGCTGCATTCAGGCATTCAGCCCTGCAGATGGGAGCTGTGCAGAGGCACGCAGGGACATGAGCAGGGTGGCTGGATTTGGAATGGGGATGGCTGTATCACCAGGCTTTGGTGAGGCTGTGTGAGTGAATGCCTGCCCAGCACTTAGTGATCCTCAAAAGAAAAAGTGCTGCACTTTATAACATGTGAAGGGTTATTACATTATAGAGTATTATTGTCAAGGCATCATCTTTCATTCTCAGGACAAGTGTTATGTGATTGCCAAGAGAAGTAATAAGTAATCCACATTAGTCTCATGACTTAGATGTAATGGGGTGACTTGCTAACATTTTCAAAGTATATAAAACTAGCTACTGTAGACAGGGTCTCCAATTGTGGTACTTAATGATTGTAATAAATTACATTAATAGTGCAGTTTGAATTTCAGCCCAAGTAGAGAGGTGTATTCAGCAACATGCTTCAAATCAAGATGTCTTAGCCTAATTTATCTGATGTGCTGGCTCTCCTTGGGCTTCTCTGCAGCAGCCACACTACCCCAGCTGCTTTAGCAAAATGGGTGGATTTTTTTTGCTGGTGCCTTCACAGCCTGTGGGTGTCACCAGCTCAGTCCCACCTGGAAATGAGAGCTGAGCCTGTGGTGGGCAGAACACGAGGGGAAGATGGGAGAGGAAGGGTGGCAGATGCTGGGGATGCCTGTGCAGGTGTAAAACACGTTCTGTTTAATCAGATCAGATCTGCTGATTTTTGTCTCCAGACTAGAGATTGTCTCAATAAATCATAATGGCCTCTTCAGCACCATTATAATGTGTCACACTGAATATCCACATACTAATAGCTGTGCACTGCAGAATGATTCCTCTTCTGGTTTTGGCTCTTAATACTTTGCTTGATTTTGTCTTGTTATTTTTTAAACCAGTGGTAGAGAAAAAAAGGCAACACCTTGTTGTGTATATGCACAATTATCAGTGCTAACTAAGCATGAGTGCTGCTGTACTGAAGTGTCACCTGATAACAATGCTTCATTCTGCAAACAGCTGAAGTGGTACCTGAGTAACTCTTGTTCTGTAAAAGCAAATATTCTAATATCTGATAGGGGTTTAGAGTGGCTTTGAATTTCCTGCAGCATTCCTGACTGGCTTCTCCCTCTCTCTGCTCTTTCAATAACAAATTTTTCAATGTGAGCTCTGTCAGCAATGGTTCATTAGCAGTCGTGGTTTAAAACACAAACCTCAGGGAAAAGGTTCCCAAACACCTCTGGCAAAAAAGAGATATGGTGAATTAGTTGCTTTCTTCTTAAGTTAGAGTTCAGATTATTTCAGGAATCATTTACTGTGTAATCATAGTTGTGTTGAAGGCTGTTCCTAGCAGTCCAGGCAC